TGGGGTTACTTATGCTTGTAGAAAGTACAGACAAGCTGATTGCTTACTGTGATTCTGATTAGGGATCATGTATAGAGTCAAGCATATCAGTAACTAGGTACTTGGTCAAATTTGGAAATGCACTGGTGTCTTGGAAGTCAAAGAAACAAATGATTGTATCTAGAAGCTCGGTTGAGTTCAGAAGTTTGGCTTCATGTGCAGCAAAAGTCACTTAGATGGTAGGGTTGTTCAAGGAACTTGGAGTCAAGATTCAATAGCCTGTAAGTATGAGATGTGACAGCAAGGCTGCTATACAAATAGCAGCCAATCCTATCTTCCATGAAAGAACTAACTATATTGACATCGATTGTTATTTTGTTAGGGAGAAAATATATGAAGGGCTGCTGAAGACAGAGTATGTACATACTAAAGACCAGTTAGTAGATTTACTGACAAAGAGCTTGGGGAAGTTTCAACATGATCAATTACTAAACTAGTTAGGAGTGAAGAATATGTATCAATGCAACCATCGACTTGAGGGGGAGTGTTGACTAGAGTTAGTGAACAAACTGATAAAATAATTGTAGTTAACTATGTAACTGTAGTTGAAGGTTAGTTATTTAGTATAGTGTTAGAAGTTAGTTATAATGTACAATATAAATACACTATACTCATTGTATAAACGATACATTGTATCATTTCTTCTTCTTCTTGTTCTTCTTCTTCTTCTTCTTCTTCAGAATAACAAAATTATGTTTCTCTTGAGTGCTTCCTTCATTTGCATGTCTTCTTCCTCAAGCTCAATCCTTAGATCCATGGAAGCTAACACCAACCTATGTATAATAGTTTTGACGTCAATAGTAGAGGTGGAGTGAGGATTTGAAGTTTATGAATTTGAAATTCTAATTCTTTTAAGATATTGTGTTCTAAACTAATAATTTGTATAAATTCATTTCATTTTTTAAACAAATATAGAGTTTGGACTGAATCTACTGAGTTCTATCGACAACAACTGCAAGGCTAGCTTCGCCTTTGGACATCAATGGTGGAGACGCTATTTTTCAAGCCACTTCGCCTAACAAGAAAATAACTATATATATACAACAATAATCATATCTCAGTGTCAAAAAATTTAGAATCCGTAAAAGATAACTTATATATATAGAGAGAGAGCCGATGTCATTTAAAAATAATACAAAATAAATATTAATTTAGGACATGAATGTAAAGTCTTGTAACCTGCACAAACCCAACTAAAATCAAATACACACTGAGTTATGACACTAAAATGACAACTTGTGCAAAATCATGCCTTGAGGTCACGGTAAAGGGAGTTACAATAGTAAGTGGTCTTGGATTGTGACGCACCACAGTAGATGTCATGACAGAGCTGTGGTCCTATGGATACATTATCCTGCTAGGAAGTTCAAGCCTAATGAGGCCAGACATATATACTATTTTGAGTATTGATCCAATAAGACCTTTTTCTTGCTGAAAGGAAGACATACAAGGGAAAGGACGTTTACGATTGAGGATTGTGACTTGAGAAGAGGAATGTTTGTGATAACACTGACCAGTGAGCATGTCACTGAAAATAGCCAAAGAGGATGTTAGAGCTAGAGATCGACCAGTGTGAATTGCCTTGTGGTCACATATAACTTCCAATTCTTAGTAATGCAGCATTGTCCGATCGACAAAGTTAGACAATAAATATTATTGGCGATTAAGCACTAATAATATGATTGTGCTTCGAAAAAGTCCCTGAGTAATCCAAAGGTCAAGAGCTAACCAGGTCACCTAAACGTTGTTGGTAATAGGTTAATTGTTTACGGTTCATAAATCTCGATGATATATGAACGATCACAATATATATGATATATAATATATGGCTATTTTCCAATGCACATAAGCTCGATTATTTCACTTTTTAAAAATCTAATGCAGTTTATAAGTGGTATTTTCCTATCCCTTAAAATGTCACATGAAAATCATTCTAATGAAATGTATCACCTTCTTCTTTTTTGTCATCCATTCGTGTCAATCACTTTCTTTATTATGACTGAAGTTATGACCTGTTTCAGCTATTTCGTTAAATATCTTTTCTCTTAATTTCTGTGGTAAAATTTGATTTCTGGATGAAATAAATATTTTTAGATAACTAATCAACGTCAGTTACTTGAACTTTACAATTGAAAAACGTAAAATAAACAGCTTGACTAAGATAGGAGTATTATCTAACTGGATGATTAAATTTTAGTTCGAAATATTAATTAAAAATACAGAAATGAACGAAATACTTTATTTAACTATAAAGTCAAATTAAATCATTTTGCTTAAACTATTACAAAAGAATACCTACAATGTCAAGGTTAGCTATAATTTGACCTATGTCTTAGCTCCTTGTATTTCCAACGACAACATTTTCAATGATATGCAACACAAACTACAATGTGATAACCCCAAATATTATCAGAAACAAATCAATCTCACTCATACAAATTTGGATGTTTCTCACTTCACATACACAGACCAAACTTCTTGGTTCATGTTTGAAAAACACATCAAAATATGGTCCTACATCTAACAAAATTCTTCACCTTGGGCCCACAAACCAATTTGACCTAAAGCCAGCATGACATTATATGGGTCCCACTAAAGTTTGTATAATAGGAGTGCTAACCAACCCATGGAAACTCTCAAAAGATTTTGGGGTCTACTTTTTTTTTTAAAAAAAAACTTTGGTGTGATATGCTAACTGATATGACAAAGAGAAAGCCCCACAAACAAACCTAAAGTTGAAAGGAGGAAAACAGTTGGGAACCATCAACCATGTCAGAAGATGAAAAAGTTCAAGAAAAACCATACAAAGAAAGGGGAAAAGAAAAACAGAAGCTTACATATACACAAAAAGCACAGAAATTTGTGAAAATTAAAAAAGAAAACAAAGGAAAAACTTCATATACACAGTAGAGTGTAATGATTCCAAGATTTAATTTGCTTAAAGATGTAGTAAAACGTTTTGATGTAGTTTTCTAATAAGGAAAATAGCATATAAACTCTTCTCATCCCATTTGAATGTCTAATTGCTTTTTCAGATATATTAGGGAAACATATTAGTCACTATATACTACTCCATTGGATTGCAAGATTCTGTGTTTTCACGATCTTCCGTCTAAATTCTTAGTATTTTACTTTTAAAACTAAAAAAAAAGGTTAATGATATTCAACACTGCTCCTTAATATATTAATCGTTTGTTCTCCAAATAATATGACACCTGATTTGATAATAGAAGTAAGAAAATCTTAAGTTACTAAACAACGTTAATCAAACGGATCTTCAGTCTAACTCAATTTCAAAAATTAACTTATAAAGTTAAAATTATCCATAACCATATAAGTAAAACACTACCCATTCCCTTAAACTAACATGAGACAATCTAACACCATTCCTCCTTTACAAGCTTTGGGCTGGGCATCTGGCATAAACATAATATGAAAGCTAATATCAAGCAAATCAAGAATAGGATGGGTTTGATATCATAGTGAAAAATTGAAAATTCTAAATTTAACTCAGCCTTAAAAACTAATTTGTGAGGCGATAATTGCCTAATATCATATACGTAAACAATAGTCCGTTCCCTTAACTAATTTGGACAGTCTTAACAAACGAATTATTCATTAAGTTATTACTCCAGTTCTTATCCATTGGATTTTAGGAAAGAAAACTTCAATAGAGAAACAAAAAAAGAAAGAAAAGGAAAAGCAATAAAGGGGAAAAGCTGAATTTGAATTTTTGTTGTCTGGTAACTTGATGCATTGCCTTAATAGTAGCCAGCAAAATGATATCATAAGCACTGCAATTATTTAGACCCCCCCACACTCACTTATTAAATCATGCAAAAATATTAAAAGGTCACCATTTAACGAATCCCAAGAAAACAAAATCTATTCCTTTTTCTCTTTGAATTTTCCTTACTTGCTGGCCGTTGACTGATTACTTCTAAAATCATCGCACTATCACTTTATTTCTTTTCTTGTTTCCTTCCTTGCTTTACTCCTCTCTCAATTCTCCAATGTTTTAAAAAGTTTTGTTTCGAATTTGTGAATGAAGCATAAACTTTACTAATGAATAAAGAGAGGAAAGAAAAAGAAAAGATTAAATTCCCCATGTAACATGTTAGTTAATTTTGTAGACTAATTAACAATCTGCTATGGTACCTATCTCTATGATTTTAAGATGAATCTCAAGAGCTAATCCCTAGATTGTTTTGAGGACAGTTAAAAAACTGGAGGACAAATTTGGGGGTTTTGTTTTTCAAATGCTAGAATAAGGAATAATAAAGTTCATATAGATAATTCCCACGTTTCGACAATAATATCTGAGTATTCAACTATTCATCCCTTATAAAATAATAACTTTTCTTCATGTCACAAGTTTTGAAAATATCATATAGCTGATCCTAACTTAATTATGTTAGTTATGATATTTTCATTTCTTGTGGATCTACTATTTAAAAATACTTTCTTGATTATGGATCTACGATCAAAAATTTAATGCGTAATCTCAATATTCAATATGTATTCTCAAATTATCTTATTTTTTAAAAATTCAATCGTTTCATTTTATCAAGTTCAATATTAGCCAGATTAGTCAATATTGTCTTTTTCGATACAATCTAATTTTGTAACAACTAATTTTGTTGTTGGTTGATTGGTCATGTTTTATTCGTGAAATGGCTTGAACCGATATTAATTTGAATACGATTAAATCGATCTATTAGATGAAATAAGTATACATTCAATCTAATAAGTAACTTGTCTTATATTTGAAATTTTTTGAGTATTGTTGTTGTTGTCACAAGTTTTGAAAATTGTAAGCCCAAAATCTTCTTTTGAAACTTTAGATACCCCCTTTAAGAATTCCTGCAAAATTGTTTTTTTTTTTTGGTGGGCCATGTATTTTGTCTCTACTTAAATATAGTAGGATTACACATTGGGGGTAATACTACACTTCTCCATCACAAAAAAATTATCAAAGGTAAGTAAAATGGGTGACCTTCACTCCATTGCTTACAGTAGCAGTAGCTGCTCTTCCCTAGGCCTAGGAAGTTGGGATTTCCATGACCTTCAAGTTTTCAACACTGACATTTCTCCATGTAAAAACTCTACTTACTTTTCACTCTTCAATTTCTCTCTTCTTCTCATTTTCTTATATATTAACCTTCAATTGTTACTGTTTTTGTTGGTATATATATATAGTTATGGAGAACACTCCACCATTTCTGTCCAATCTTGATTCTGACTTCTCCAGTGGCTATCTTCAAGATGCTTTATTCAAATTCAGTTCTAAAAGAAGACGTTTGTTATTGTTTGATGATAATGAGAATTATCAAACTAAAGATTCAAACAATTCCATGAAGGTATATAGGTGAATTATATACATTGTCTGAATCTATTTTTTTATATTTTTTGTCAATGTTTTCTTATTTTATGTGCAGAATTTGTGGAGTTCAAACATGGACCAGCATTTTTCTGAGGATTGTGATTCCTTTAGCCAGTTAACTAAGTGTGATAGCTTTTCGGGTAATTCTAATTCTTCCCTTTTTCTTCTCACTATAATAATTCTTTTTCTTGAATGACCTTAATTTAGGCTGTTAGCAATATTTTAATTTAGCTAGAAATGGAATTGAATTCAATTGTTGTTTAAGAGGCTGAATATTCCTGTTCTATTTTCTGTTTTTAAATTGAATTCAATGATTAGTAACAGCCGTTATAATTTGCACATTAAATTGAAATTAAGAGACGAGATTTCTGTTATGATAAGGGAAGCAATAAAATTCATAATGATTATTGTGTGCATGGTGTTATTAATGAGCAAAATGATTGAGGAATATTCCAATATTACAACAGATGTGAAAAGAACAGAGGAGGAAGCCATCTCAGCTTCTCATGAAACTTACAATTATTCTTCAGCATCATCTCATGATCAAAAAGTGAATACTCAACACTCCAATTCTGATAAAGAAGTCCTACGACAATATCCCACACACCCCAGTTTTCCTACTGGTAAATCTCTCTACTTCTAATCATATTTACTGAATACTAGAATTATTTTTTTTGTTTGTTTATTGAAGTTAAACTCATTAATTTGTTTGTTGTATTTTTGTGTGTTAGCGTTGGGTGGAATACGTCTTTTACTGGGTGAGTTTGCGTCATTTAGGCTGTATCGTGTAGGTTCAATTAAATTAATTACTTTCGTCTCAAATTATGTATACATATGAAAAAAAAATAGTTTAAAATGCATATGTATAATAAGAGCATGCTCAATCATTCTGAACTCACTGTCTCTACCTTAAATTCGCCTTTTATTTGGCTGTGATCGATATATAAAATGAACTCTTCTATCTTGTGTGTGTCACTGTCTTGTGTGGCTGTTTTTATTTCTCTTTATTTTGTGGACTGCAACTTTTATTTTTCATGACGGCAGTCATGCATATCGATTAGTTTTGCTATCGGTTTTCAAGAAATGACATACCGTTTGCCAATTTCAATTTTTTGCATAAAAGTCTTTCAACTTTATTAATGTGTTTATAATCAAATTTTCACTCACCAATTTAAAATCTCCCCCCCCTCNTGTATTCTGTTGCCGTTGTTTCTGTGTAAGATGGACCAAAAATTGATGAAATAATAGTACAAGTATGGCGTTCCTCAAAGTTATATCTATGCACTCTTGTGATCTGTACTGGTTTCACTTTTTTTTTAAAGCCTTACGTTACCAAAAGCCACTGACCATAGTCCAACATTTACTAATGCCGTTATTAACTTATAATTTTGGTATTTGAATTATATTCGTAACTGTAGCGCCATTAATTACGGAGTATAATTATTTTCCAATTATAAAGTTGTTAGGTTAACATAGTCTAATAAGTTATTTTCTTAATTATTTGAAGGAGGAAGTGATCAGAAGAGATCAAAGAAAAGGATGACAGCAAAAGTGGTGTATCCATTTGGCGTAGTGAAGCCAGGAGGACAGGAAGGGGACGTGACGTTAAACGACATAAACGAGAGGATTCTGATGAGGCCGACCCGACCGGTAAGGCATCCGGTCGGAGATTTCGCCTGTCGGCCAACAGTATCTCCGACCGGACCGGGGTTGTCCGGCAAGACTGTGGTGGCACTCACTAAAATTCATACCCAAGGGAGAGGGACAATCACAATTATAAGGACTCGAGGTTGAGCAAATAGAGGACCTAGGATTGACTTGTCAATTTCTTAGAAAATTTTCTAGAGGAGGGGTGTGAGTAGGGAATTCAGAATTTAGGAGGAGAATGTGTAGTTAAGTTTCTTTCGGGGGGGTAAAAAGCAAGTTTATATGAAATGTATAGATATGGAGGTAATTAAGTGGATGTATAGATCATACTTACTCCTATGTTTGTTACTGAACATTAGAATGAAACATGTTTTGCTTTAGATTTACTTCTGACAATGAAAGATTTCCTAAGGACTGTGTTGATCTTTAAAAGGACGTTCTTTGTATGTAGTGACCAGAATGGATTGAACTATCCAATTAAAGTCGAAAAGCCACTCATTCGACTGAAAAAGGTTCTAATATTAAGCTAAAAATTTATATAATAAGAATCGAATTAATTATGGATTTATTAAAACCAACGAGTAGTAATTTTTGTTGATTTATTACTAAGAAAAAATCTCAGCTATACATGATGCAAAAGTTATTTGAAAACTTAAATTACTAAATATAAAATTGGATATATTATTAACTCCAAAATTAAAAGTTAGTGTTAGGTTATTGTAAAGGAGCTCACCGATTGTACAACTGTCACTTAGGTCTTAGACCATAGTTAGGCTAATTAACTAGAGTAGTTAGTTTGTTAATAGTCTGTTAGTTATATATTAACAGTGTAAATTGACATTGAGGCAGTTAAGCGGAAATAACATAAAATCATTCCACAATTTCTCTCTACATTTTCTCTGCAACTCGATCTTCTCCACTCGCTTTCATCTAATTCTCCAAATCTGTGAGAATTAACATGGTATTAGAGCTTTAATCGTGTGAATTTAGGGGTATTCTTCGCAGATTTAGTCGAAAATCGAGAGATTCACCGAACATTTGCTTGCTGATTTGTGCCCTAATTTCAATGGCGGGAGATACAGTCGAAGAACAGGAATTTGCTGAATAATCAAATATGCAGGAATCGATTATGATTGATCACAATCATCCTTTATATCTGCATCCTTCTGATGGACCGAGTTCGCTAGCATTGGGAATTCAATTGATCGGAATGGAAAACTATACACTTTGGAGGCAAGCTATGAAATTTTCGTTGCTAACACGAAACAAGCTGGGTTTTGTTGATGGTTCGATTACCAGAGATACCAATGGAACTAGGTTCAATCATCTATGGAATCGTTGTAATGCAATTGTCAAATCATTGCTAAGGCACAACGTGAGTCGCGATTTGCTGAGTGGTGTTCTGTTTCGCTCAAGTGCTCGAGCAATTTGGGAAGACCTTCGTGAGAGGTTTGATAAGGTGAAGTCTTCACGAATGTATTATCTAGACAAAGAAATTTTCACCCTAACTCAGGGAACCTCGTCAGTATCGGCGTATTATTCAAAGTTAAAAGATTTGTGGGATGAATATGATTCAATCATCCCTGCTCCACCTTGTGACTGTAAAAAGTCAAAAAAACACCTTTCGCATTTACAGTATCAATAACTTTGGCAGTTTTTGATGGGCTTAACTGATGGCTATAGTCAAGCTCGGAGCCAGATATTAATGAAAAACAAGGCACCTTCTGTGAATCAGGCATATGCCATGATTTTGCAAGATGAGAATCAAAAAATGGTTGCTGGTAGTCAGACTATCCCTATTGAGTCCATAGAACCAACTGCCCTGTTTACTTCCAGGAATAATACTTAGAAGCAGAAAATAAATTATAACATGAAATGTGACTTCTGTCACATGAGGGGTCACACTAGAGAGGGTTGCTACAAACTTATGAAGTGCGACTACTGTAACATGAAAGTCCATCTCAAGAAGAACTGCTATAAGATTATAGGTTATCCAGCTGATTTTAAGTCAAAAAAGAAGAGGGCTTCTATAAGTGGTCATTTGGCTAAAACAAAAGTGCAGTCAGTACAACAACCATAAGTGCCTCAACCTCTTGTGTTTACACCGGATCAATACAATCGAATTTTGTAAATGCTAAACAACAGGTCATCCTTTTTCAGACTCTAGTGCTCACATGGCAGGTACGTCTTTTCCTAGTGCACATATGACAGGTACTTCTTGTTCTGTTCCTACAAAGAAATCTAGTTGGATAGTGGATATTGGGGCTACTAATCACATGATTAGCAATAACCAGTTATTGTTGAATGGTATTGAAATAGAAAGTTCATGACAAGTTTAAATGTCAACTAGAGAGTCTGCTAGGATTACTCATGTTGGGGACTGTGAGTTGACTGGAGGTGAACTACTTAAGGATGTGTTATGTGTGCCCGTTTTTAAATTCAATCTTTTGTCAGTTTCTAAAGTGACAAAGGATTTGAATTGTTGTGCAACATTCTATGCTGACTTCTTTGTGTTACAGGAGCATTTCAGTGGGAGGCTGAAGACGATTGGTAGAGAACAAGATGGCATATATGTGTTGAAGTCAGGGTCCAGGAATGCCTTTCTTACTCACAGCAAATTAATGGCAGTACAAACAACTACAGATTCAGAGATTTGGCATAAACGATTAGGACATGTTCCCATGGCTGTACTAAGAAAAATTTCCTTTTTTCAGAATAAGTATAGTTTTACTTTGGACAATTGTGATGTATGTCCACTAGCTAGACAAACTAGGATTGCTTTTCCAACACATGCTAGCAGGTCCACTGAACCATTTCAATTTCTACATTTGGATGTCTGGGGTCCTTATAACACTGCTACTTATGATGGCATGAAGTATTTTCTTACTGTTGTGGATGACTTCTCTAGATGGACTTGGACATTTATGATGAGAGCTAAATCAGATGTTTCTTGTTTGCTTAAATCATTTATTGTCATGGTTTTGAATCAGTTTGAAAAGAAGATCAAGGTGGTTATGTATGATAATGGTGCAGAGTTTTTTAACTCTACTTGTAGAGCTCTGTTTAACATATATGGGATCATACACCAAAGGTCCTGTCCGTACACACCCCAGAAAAATGGGGTGGTTGAACGAAAGCATAGACATTTCCTTGAGACTGCTAGAACCTTTAAGTTTCAAGGTGGTTTACCCTCAAGATTTTGGGGTTGTTGCATTGAAGCAGGAGTGTATATCATCAACAGAGTTCCCTTGTCTGTTTTAGATAATAAGTCTTCCTTTGAGATTCTGTATAATCGTATTCCCTCTCTCTCTCACAGTTGAGAATCATAGGATGTTTAGGTTATGCCTTTACTCTACCCAAACAAGCTATGTTTAGTCCTAGGGCCATTAAGTCAGTTCTACTTGGTTATGGTGTCTTTCAAAATGGCTATAAGCTTTATGATCTTGAGAAACAAAAGGTCTTCATCAATAGAGATATGGTCTTCAATAAGTCCATCTTCCCCCTCAAGACTACACAAGGCAATTCTGAGATGTCCTTTCTAGAGTAGGTTGATCCTTGCAAATTTTCTATAGATGCTTCTACTCTTTATGTTCCTCCCTTGTCCTCTATTGACTCTTCAGTACCTGCAAGTTCACCTAGTGAGGTTGACCAGTTGTCCATAGAGGCCACAGAGCCTCCTAATTCCTCTAATAATGATACAATGCTTCATGATCCTAATTCCTCTACTAGTGAGGCCATGATTCCTGATCATGTTCCTACTTCACAATCATCTTCACATGAGCCTATTCCTGCACCATCTACAGGGCCTCACAAATCTAGTAGAACTTCTAAGCCATTTATATGGATGAAGGATTTTGTCATTCTTGCCAAGCCTCAAGCTGCTCAAACTTGCTCTTATCCTCTTTCTGATGTAGTCTCTTATGATTCACTTTCTTCCACTTATCAAAGCTTCCTCACCAGGTTCTCAGCAGAGGTGAACCCATAACTTATGCACAGGCAGCTAAAGACCCGCACTGGGTTCAAGCTATGCAACTTGAAATCAAGGCATTAGAGGATAACAACACTTGGAAAGTGGTTCCTTTTCCATAGGGGAAGAAGGCCATTGGTTGCAAATGGTTCTATAAAATCAAATACAAGGCCACTGGGAAGTGGAAAAGTTCAAGGCTCCATTAGTAGCTAAAGATTATAGCCAGCAGGAGGGCCTTGATCACCAAGAGACATTCTCTCCCATAGTTAAAATGGTGACTGTACGAGCTGTCATTTCTATTGTTGTTGTCAAGCATTGGACCATCCACCAAATGGATGTCTACAATGCTTTCTTGCAATGGGATCTCCAAGAAGAGGTCTACATGAGCTTGCCGCAAGGATTTACCTCTACAACAGGGAAACACAATGCATGTCGACTTCTTAAATCTTTATATGGCCTTAAACATGCTTCAAGGCAGTGGAACTTGAAGCTTACCACTGCCTTTCTGTCTTTTGGATTCATTCAGAGTCACCTAGACTACTCCCTTATCACTAGGAGATCTTGTGGGAAGATTGTAGTGATCTTAGTGTGTGTTGATGATCTCCTAATCACTGGTGATGATTTGAGCATGATAGAAGAAACTAAAAGCAATCTGCAGCAGAGTTTCAAAATTAAAGACTTGGGGAAATTCAAGTACTTTTTTGGCATTGAGTTTGCTCGACGTAAAGAAGGTATCCTTATGCACCAAAGGAAATACGCCACCTTATGCACCAAAGGAAATATGCCTTAGAGCTTATCTCTGATATGGGACTAGCTGGAGCAAAATGTGTGGGTGCTCCTTTGGAGCTTAGTCACAAGCTCACATCTTCTGAGTTTGACAAACACGTTGGTGACACCTCTGATGCCTTGTTGAGTGATCCTAGTGTTTACCAGAGATTGTTGGTAGGCTTTTGTACCTCACCATTATTAGGCTTGACATGGCTTACGACGTGAAAAATCTTAGTCAATTCATGCATTCTCCAAAGGTTTCTCATATAGAAGCCGTTGTTCGTTTGGTTCGATATATATTAAATCTTCTCCTCGCATGGGTATTCTTATATCTGTTGTTGCTGATAATACCTTGACAGCTTTTTGTGATGTTGATTGGGCTTCGTGTTCTATCGTGAGGCGATATGTCACAAGCTATATGGTTAAATTTGGTGCGTCTCCAATTTCTTGGAAGTCCAAGAAGCAAACCACCATTTCTAGAAGCTCTGCTGAAGCAGAGTATCGAAGTCTTGCTTCAACAGTTGCTGAGCTTGTATGGCTCGCTGGTTTGTTCAAGGAATTTGCTGTGGATATTCAATTGCCTGTCTCTCTATATTGTGATAATAAGTCCGCTATTCAGATAACTGCTAATCCTGTGTTTCATGA